CCTTTTCTACAACTTAGCTGTGCCACTGCAAATCATTACTTCCTGCCAGTAATGGTTTTCAGACTCCGAGGGTTTTGATGTATAATGAGATCCATGAAGGTAATTGTGAGTAGCAGGGCCCAACATAAGTTCTCTTTCTCCACACTTGTTCTCTTGAGGTAGCTCTCTATTAAGTCTTGATTGACATTAATAGGGCTGTATCTACTAGTGGTTAGGTTTCTTCTGGCTGGTTCTGTTGTTGAATTTTTCTGAGCTTCAGAGAGAATGTCCAATACCACTGTTTGTGCAGACACCCTCTCTGCACCAACAAGAATTCCAAATAAACGTGCTGGTAGTCGGGAGCGTAAGAAAAACACACGGTGTTGATATTCAGATTGTGACTCCTTGAGAGACAGTGGAGAATCTGGAATGAAGAAATATCCATACTCTATATTTACATGGATTGTATTTTGACTGCTCTTAGGAATCACACTTTTCACTGAATAGTCAGGATCATAAATTGTAAAACGGAATTACACAACATTTGTTTTACATAACAATTTCAAACAAATTAAAATTTTCTTCCATGCTTACTGTTGAGTAAAGCTACAAACATGGCAGTAAGTTGGGAAGTCTGCAAGTTGATGGACAAAGATGCTGGTAGCTTCTGATGTGACTGTACAGAACATATGTTATCTTCCATGATGAATAAATCTCCCTCAGGAAATCTTTCACATATATTCTGAACCTGCCAATTAAAGTGACATTTTGTTACTGTTAAGGAATTGTTACAAATATAGTTCTCATTATGTAATAAAAGTTTCACATATGTAACAAAATACAAGAGAAAATAAAAAATTCATGCTTCAGATTTTTCTCTTCGTTACCACATTTGGAGTGGCTCTAGGGTATGCCTAGTCTTCTGTCCATTTCTTTCTGGAGGCTCTTCCCCCAGAGAGAAAGCAGCCAGAGCATGAAAATGCTCCCTCACCTCTTTAGTTTAACAATGCATATTGTTATTGCTATCTAAGATTTAATAAACACTTATGAGAATAACTCACTCTGATACATGAGACTTACAACATCAAACAAAGATGTGAGATGTAATTTCTTGGGACCAAGTTCAAGACTATGCAGATCCCAATGAAGTAATTTCCCACTGCAATCAATATGAGCCCATGTTACAGCAGTGACACCAATATGAATACCAACAGCACTCTGCACTACCTGCATAGATAACAGGAAACCCTGAATTAAAACTAATAATAATAATAATAAATTATTATTTTTATATGAAACTAAGATAGGTGCTCAGATGTGAATTTTTGCTCCACATGTTTGCCGGCAATTTATTCTATAAGCACAAGTGTATTTTTATTAGTTACTAAAATATGTATATATGATACCAAAACCAGCATCTGATTATCTCTTCAATATTTAAGACTCTTCCAAAAATATAAATATCAATTTTCATCTGTGTAAACCTTTGCCTGTCCTGACAAAGACTGTCATGACTGTGAAAAACTGGATTTGACACCACATAGTCTTGTAGATAGTCACTAATGTTTTGATGAAACCTGTTGCTTACATCTTTAGGGTAAAATACAGGGGCAATAAGTTCAGCAGAAACAATGGTAACCACAAGACAACGCAGTGTCTCAAGCCAGACCACAATCCCCGTTTTGTGTTGTAAACAGAACTTACTATTTTCTGGTTTAATTGAAGTGTTGGGGTAAGCATCTGGCTTCTCTGATTCTTGGATGATTTCAACTGTTTCTGTACTTGAGATTTATCTACAGAACCTTCCATTTCAGAACCATAAATGTGGTTCAATATACTGTCACAAAGTTTCTCCAGGACCTTCACCCCCAAACCATCCACTTCAAGAACTGCATCTAATGTGCAAAACTGGCCTCGTTTACGCCGGAACTGTTGCAAGCTATTTATACGACCTTTGCCGATATCAAACCTAAAACAGTAAATGTGAGTTTGTTGGTTTTAATTAATATGAGAATGATGTGCTTATGTAACTCAAAAGGTATGGATAATTCAAGTTGTGGGAATTTTCACTGCTGTTAATAAAGTTAGAGAATTAAGACAAATACACATATATATTTGAGATCACTTATAAAATTTCTCTGGACTTTATTCCGATAGCCATAGAATTCTGCATCTTTCACATATCTGTAAAAGTTTGTTCATGTTATTTACTGCTGTGTAGGTATCTTTCAGTTCAATTATGTTTGCCAGTGACTTAAATTATATATTTTTCATATCTCCATATGTGCACAGTAGAGACAAACAAGAACAAGAAAATTAGTGGTATTTTGGTAGGCATGAAAGTATAAAAAATACCATTAGAAATTTAACATGAATAAAAATATACTTTTCAGTATCCTTACCGAATTCACAAATTTTGCAATTCACTTTCTGTATTTCTGTGATGTAAAGTTTCATATAAGTGCATTTATGAGTTTACCCAAAAGCTGCCATACTATGGTTTGACCTTTGTGTACAAGAATGTCAATTAAGTTTGGTTATCATTAGTTAAGGAAGCAACAAAAATGTGAATGGCTGTCTCATCAAGCTTAAACATTCCATATTATAAGCTAGAGTGATATCTAGATGAAAATAACTCTTTATACTCATGGATATATAAAATTTCAATGCACTTTCCATATTAACATAAAGTTATATTTAAAAGGAGAGAATTAACTCAATTCTAATTTACAACTTAATGTTGAAAATAGCTATTACCTGGACAGCTCTTCTGCACTGGATTCATTAAGTACTTGTAAGATCTTGTTTTGTTCTTCATTGTTATAGCGAGGCTGGTACAGGCCAGAGAAATGTCTGATTTGACCTATGCATTTTCTGTAAAATACATTCTGAGCACAAGACTGTAAACAAATAAATAAAAATAATAAAATGATTTTCAGAAACCCTTGAAGCTAACCCATATATCTACCACTTTCACAAATTCAGGTTTTTAATTTTAATTACACAAGAAAACATAACACTATTACTTACATGTATTTATAATAGCTGAACATTTTTGGTTTAGGTAAATTATTCTATGGAGTATAAGGAGTGAGACAGGAGATACTCTTTTAGTGCTGCTTTAAACTTCTCTGTATCATGATTCAAACAGTTGTAGTGGGGGTAAGATTACTGAATAGCTTAATTCCTGTATAGTAAACTCCTTTTTGATGTTTACTGAGTTTAGTGTTTGGCACATTAAGGTTTTATATTTATCTTGTACTAATATTGTAAATATCTGAGTTTGAAATTCTCTGGTGTCCACTACAAATGATAAGGAGAGCAAAACACCTCATTTTGAAATTTTCTACGGCTTCCTGTTGCTTCCTCTCTGTTATTCAAATATCCTCCTCAGCACCCTTGTTCTCAGACATCCAGTCTTATGTTCCTGCTTTAGAACATTTGATATTCATGTTCTACTTTTACTTTAGCAGTAACTGTGACTGCTAATGAGTCAAATCACACAATTGTTTTCTGTCATCTCAATACTTTCACTGTTCTTTTCCATACTTCTGTGGAGATTTGTTCCAAAATTACAGCAAATGCATACAAAATATTTTAGAAAAAGAGAGTATCAATAATTTCAGGAGTGTTTGGCAGGAATGATACTTGTGTCTGTTTTGCTCACCAGATGTTTTGACTTAGTTATACTTTTCTCTGACAGATGTCTACAGATGTAATATCTGGAGGTCTAGGAACTATAACAAATTAAGAATACTCATCCTCCTTTATGAACAGAAAATTTATTAATAGAAGAATATACATTATAATTACCTGAAACTTCCTTCCACACACTTTATTTCAATATCTCGAATGTACTCATACCTTCATGTAAGTGCAGTCAGGTAGTCCTAATGGGACCAAAATTCAGTCTGACAAATAAATGACGGTAATGACACTATGCACCAAATTTCATCAATATGTTTAACTTAGTGCAGAATTACTGCATGTAAATGAAGAGTGATGCTAAATTCATGAAATTTTATACTGGAGAGTTTTACTAAAATTTGTCAACATATTGCAAATTTAATTCAGATCAGGCAATCAATTACAGGCACTTTATAATAAGAGAAGACCAATATTCTTTTCCCAGGCTGATTAGATGGGGAATCCAGTTTCACAGAAAGGTCACATACCTCAGATAACTGGTGCCATTAGCAAAGGTGAATAATCAGATTGTGATGAATGTGCACACACTGCTAACTAATTTATATAAAATCCATATTTTAAATGTTTTGTACATTTAATTACTGAAAGCCTTCTGTAACTTTATAACGATTAATTAGTATCAACATCATAGTCTTTCCCTGCAAAATACATAGTACCCTGTCAAATTGAGGTTATGTAGTGTTAAATAGTAAGGTATTTACGAACTGTAAAGGATTAAAGGAGAATGAGCAGTGGCCTGTTTTTATCTTCTATCCTGACGTGTACATAAAGAGACTGAGGAAAACTACAGTTCAGCAGAATGTGTATCATGGCCGAAATTCATAGCACATATCCTTAATATATGTGATGTTATCACTGAGCTAATCTGCTCAGTTTCAGCAGCAGGCACGTGATGCATTTTCAGTGCAACTGATGGAACTGTATGAAACAACAGCACAAATATATTATCACTGTATACATTCTGTAAATTTCACGTCACATGGCACTAACCAAGCAAAGAATGAAGGACAAGTACACAGTTTTCTGAAGCTGAAGCTAAAATTGTAGCAATTTTAGCAGATGAGATTTTATAATAGACCAAACTTCTCTAGATGTTAGAAATAAACAATTCTGGCCCAACTTCACTCATTCGAAATTAACTGCAAATGTATGAACAAAAAATATGTTACACTCTCTTAAAATAGGGTCGAGATAAGGTGACGGAAATTCCTGAAAGAACTACTAAAATTATACGTCCTTATTTCAACGAAGGCATTTGGAATATTACCAAAGTTAATCATATCAAACGCACTTTAACGGAATAATACAGTGCAGGCAAGTCCTTGTGTATTGCTCTTAAAATTTCGTTGAAGCAACAAGCTGACATAATGTCACATACGCCGATCACAATAAATTGGCTTACTTTGCAGATATGTAGAATCTGATGTGAACGTAAAACATTCTGCATTGTATTCATGTGAATTATTGTGATAATTATCTGGAAGCTCAATCACGTATACAAATCACCAGCTGACTAACTACTTTCGTGAAAGTCGATTTAGCAGAATTCAGGAGCAGTATCGATATGAGAATCGTCGATAGTCTATTGCTGAGGTCTTCCAAGAAGACCTTTTTCTAAAATCAGTAATGTAATATGTACGGAAAAGGAAAGAAATGATGTATTTCAGTATATGAAATTATAAGACTTAAATTTGGAATAAATACATGTTCAATACAATTTTGTATTATCAAATTATACTAGAGTCATGAAGATTAACATTTCGAACTTCTCACCAGAACTCTACATTAAGTTAGCCATTTGGAATGACAGTACAAGAGATTGCTCTTCAAAGAAATGTTATTTCCTCCCAAAATTATCGTACATAATTTTGTACACATTAGCCAGTGCTTGAGTGCTTACTGGTAACTATTCGTAGAAGATGCTGATCTACCAAATATATCACTGCACTGTCTTAGTTAACCCTAAGAAACGAACAATGGTTAGGCTTAACATTTTCCCACTGTTTACATTATTGTGCTAGATTTTGAATTGAATTTTGAAATTATGTGATTAATGAAGATAACCATTTTATGGTTCTCTAATGATTGATATTGATATTTTATAGTGTATAAATAATAAATATGTTTAGATGGATAACACACAGCATTCAAAAGAATTCAGAACTTTGTAACAACAATGTTCCTTATGTGGTAGGATGCCAGTGCTTCGTTCAGCATATATATAAGGTTAATGGTCGACTCTATCATTAACTTTATTCATTGTCACTCTGCAGCAGAAAGGCTTTGCTTTGATTTGAGAGGTGGATGGGCACTGACAATACCACGTACCTAAATTAGAAGGGAAGAATAACCGGTTTCAAAAGGACATATTTCAGTCATAGCGTAAAAATTGTTAAACTTATTTCTGAAATGCTTTTAAAAGATGGACAAAATTGTTTTTGATCAAGACCTTGTTTCGAAAACTAATTTAATACAACTTAATTTTCATGCAAGTGTTTTGTCGAATATCCTGCAAGAACTTAACTTCAAATACCGGAATACGAATTTAGAACCAAATGATATATTACAAAAAGCAGTTTGTCTGGAAATTAAAATGTTCTTTTGTTGATCCTCGGATTATTTGGCTGTGCCCAAATTTGAAATTTGAAAGCCATAATTTATTTTGAAGAAATACCTCGGAGGTTCCAATTCATACCGGGAGAGCGCTGAAAGTGCCTATCGTCTTCGTTCATTGGCTGCTTCCACGCGCACGCGCAAGCACGCTGAATACGTCATTTTAGCTTTACCAGCACAGTTGTGTGGATGGCCGAAATGCCGTTAGGTTTGGTGAGTAGCGTTTTTGGAATTGGCATAAAATGGAATGGCTGATCGTATGTGTATCGTTTTGTTTATAAATGTTTGCATAATGGTTCACAGAATGAGGGGCCTATATGTAAAAGGTAACAACTTTGAGATATGAAGTATGAAATAAGGTGCTTTATTATTCATATCGTTTCATGTTTATTTGCTGCATGCCATGTTCTTTAATTGCTTTGATTCTGGAGTTGCTTGTCGGCACAGTGCACGGGGTTACGTAACATACTAGCAACGAGCTGTTTAATGTCATAAATGTAAACAGCATTGTTGCTTATTTCAACAATCGTATAACAAGGCCTTTGGCTTGAAAGTTTACAAATTGGACAACTTGTAGAGGCTCATTGGAGGAGGGTCACTGATCCAGGATTTCCAGGCGCAACCAGCCGATCACCGTTCATCTATTTGTACATAGCCGTTCGATTCTGCAATGCGATAAACAGAGAATGGTCAGGAGATTTCGGGTTTTGAAAGATACAGAACTCGAAATAAGCAGCAACGTGTAGTAACAATTTCTGAGATATACCGAAAGCAATGCAATTTCTGTATTTGTTGGCAGATTTTGGATTAGTTAATTTGGGTAAGCTAATGTTATGAAATTTGAAGTCACGACGGTGAAGATGCTGATGTTGGTCGTCTGGGTTGTAACGCTGTGTGGGTGGACTTATAGATAGATACCAGCGATCATACTGCCTCCATCTTCATCTCTGAGGATGACGGAACAATATGTTTATCCGAAACGGTGGTATCTGTTTACATGTCCACACGACATTACAACCCAGAAGACCAACATCGACAAGCTGAAGTTTAGTTTCTAAGCCCCTCCGCCCCTTCCTCCTAGTTTTAGCAGCTTCGGTTTCCAATTTCGTTATCTGCGTCGCGGAGTGAACGCACCACAGATTTGTATTTTACTGAAAAGTTCCGAAATTGCTCATATTTCTTTTTCGAAAATATGGTCATTTGTTTTTAAATTCCGATTCTAATTTTCGTTTTATATGACCTTTATGAGAGAAATATAACAATTTTGTTCTTAAAAAATGTCAATTGCTTTCACCCGTCAGGACACATGTAGCTTGTAAGTAGAAATTGGCCGAGAAGGGAAATATCCTGGGGAAGGATATTGATTTCAAAGTAGTTTAAAACGAGACGAACCAGTTGGGGTGAGTATTTTTTGCATACAAAAACAACTTCAATGTATTTGGTAACTTGTGGGCATCTCGCAGATTTTTTCGGTGAACAGTCGAATTTTCTAAATAACACACAATAAATACTTTTTTGTTATAAACCTATACATAAACGTTGAGTGGTTAGTAATTCAGCTGACAATTCTCCAAACGTCACGGAGTGTCGACTTAAAAGATGGCGTACTTTTATTGAAGTGAATTTTGGGATAAAGCACGTAAGCGATGTGGTCTGTATTCAAAAACTTGTGATAGCTTTCCTAGGTTGGCCTTCTAAGTAGCCTCAACATTGGCTTTTAACATTGTTCTGTTGTAAAATGTTCAGTCGACACTGGGCTGTATTGTGAAAACAGATGGAGGGTGTTGGGACCCTTGTGCGAGGCTATTGTATTTCAATGCCGAACCTTCCGACTGCACACGAAGTCCATCCGAACCAAAACCGAAACGGATGTCAATTTTGTTCTTGCGTTGTTGAATTTGTTGAGGAAACGATATGACGGAGGCCAACCAACCGGAACTTTATCCATTTTAAAAGTGTGATGATGATTGTAATCTGATATGTTAGTATACCGTTTCGGGATTGTCGCCAGTGTGCTTTCTATGAATTTCAGTTCTGACATTCAGCCATATTGTAATAATCGGGCAAAATTCACAGTTTATGAACCAGAAATCCAAGAAAGATGTCTGTCTTATGGGTTGTTGGGACGTGTAGTATTCATACTGAACGTTATGGAAATAAAAGGAATGACCTATCGAGTTTATCATCCTGCAGCTGTAGATTATTGATTTACAGCAGAATTTTCATTTCGAGTGAAATACAAATGTATTGGCCAGTTTTATACAGATGTATTGTTTCTGCTGCAAGCTTGAGCATTCAGCAGAAACAGAAAGAGTTCTTTGCAAGGCTTGTTAAAAATAGAGGTGAGTTGCTGGGACAATTTTGTCGGCCGTAGCATGATTGTGTAATGATTGTAGAATACGGCCACTTGATTGCAGTCTTATCTGGAAACGGAGAATGAATTTTCGAGAAAAACATTTTATGTGGTCGTCAAAGATGTACATTGTAATTCTGTTGACTTTCGCCCTAAGCTCCAGATACATGTTGCCGTTGGACGTACTTGCGCTGCTCGGTTTACACTTGGTTACCCGTTTTTTTAGCAGTCCTCGTCTTATCACATTGTTCCTGAGGACTAATCCCTATTTCATTCACTTCTGTTGCGGTATATTTATTTCTCTGTGCCAGAAATTTGTTACCCGTTTCCAGAGAATGAAGTCAGCCTGTTTAATGACGTGCCAGCTTTCTTTGTTGCTTTCTTCTCATTATGTTTTTTAGATCAACTTCAGACGTCTTTGTGTGCGTAGTTTTGTCACTAAAATTCGATATTGATATTATTTGCAAAATTGTAAATGCAGTGTAATAACTTGGAATACGGACACACATTACACATACAACCCGGAAGATACGGGACGTTCGTTATTGTAGTATGTGCAACGCAGCTCATATGGAACTAAAAGAAATTGGTTAACGTTCGTTTGATAATAATGATATTAGGTAACCACTCCCCGAAGTTGATAAGTAAAGGTAGCATGTAGGATTTGAGGTTCTCACGGCGGTGATTAGGAAGATGGCTGCCTTCTGGGTTGCAGCGCCTTGACATCTGTTAGAAGTTTACCAGCTTTCAGAGGTCCTTGCTACCTCCATCATCAGGGCTACTACGAGACCAGTTACATGGCGCTACATCCCAGAAGAATGTCGCCTTTTTAATGGTAGGATGTATTTTCATGTAGCGTAGTGAGTAGTTTATTTAACTGATTTTTTTTACTTTCTCCCTCTACCGATTTGGCGAGTTGAGTTTGGTTCCTTGCAAATGTGCCCTAATTTTTCTCGTTGAATGGCTTCTGCCGCAACCCCCTCCAATCCAGTTGGTACCTCTTGCATGAGGTGTGAAACACTTCCGTGGAGCTGAAACTACAGTTTCTGCATCCCTTACTGGTATGGTGATGAGCTGACGGGATTTTTTACTTTCAGAAACTGTAAAGTAAATAGGAATGGGGAAGTAATTGAGCATGTTGGGCAGCAATTTGAAGGTACTTTGCGTGCCCCATGTAGAATCGCACACACATTACAAAATTTATATCCACAACCAGTAACAAAACTGCTGTTGTTCTAGCGCGTTCCTTCCATTAGTTTATGGTGGTAAGCCATCTATATACAGCAATTTGTTGGCTGGCATACGAAACCTAACCTCGCACAAGGTACTATGCGAGGGACTTTGTGCTGGAGACAGCTGTCCTGGTGTAAAACTTGTTGATCAAGCAGTAGCGCCAGGGAAGAGCTGAACAGCAATGCATCTTGTCTTTAGACATGGTGGAATATCCTCGGCACATATATGGAATATTTAAGCAGAATAAGTCAAAAAAGGCAAATTTGGCACACTGACATTCTCCTGATTTTGTCCATTTTCATGACCGATTGATTGCGCAATTATTATTATTATTAGATTAAATGACAGAATTGTGGCACCGAGTGCGATATGTAACCAATTTAGCCAGAAATAAATACTGCCAAATTTGATATTCCGTGGAAACTGAGTAGTTTCAAGTTCATGCCGTATTCAGGTGGATGTGGTTGGTGCCAGCTGCTTAGCAGGTTAATTGCATCCATTTGCGCATGCGTGAAATGTTATATCTTTTGTTTTTAGTTGCTGCCAAAAGTTCTGAAATTTCGCCAGTAATTTGTTCGATTAGGCTTGCATTAGATATGAAAGTCGTATCCAAAGGAAAGGAGGAAATTGACAGTTTTCATGTGTGTATTCCGGTACCGAACTGTTCGCGCTACCACATACAGTTCAACGCGAACAATTAAACACACACCTTTACACCATTTTTTCAATACAGAAAAGGGATAAGGTAACAACTAATTTTGGACTGGCTGACTCACACTGCGTATTTGCCATACGTTGCGCAGGGTCCTGCAACGTGGCAACAGTGGGCAAACCGTCTCGCCCGCTGATCGGTAGATGGAACATTTCCCGAGGGTCGACGTTTAGGAGTCAGCGTTATGAAGCAGAGTCGTCCACACATGGTTCGTCGTAAAGGTTTTTGTAGTTCAACTTGCAGACGTCGAATGGTTTCAGTAAGTTAATCTCATTTACAGTATTTAATAGTGTTATTCACTACAGAAGGAAAAGAAAATGCAGTAATTTTTATTGGCCCACAGTCTTGCGCAGGAAGGGTTGCGCATTGGCGCAGCATGTTTCTCAGTATCGTAATAGTGGATCTGTACTTTGTGCATAAATGATAACAAAGAGGACCTCTGTAGGCCTAGCTGTTCGTTTAAAACACTGTGAATCTAAGGGGGCGTGTAATTGGCATTTCAAAAGCCGGTTGCCCATTTCTTTTTGGCCAGTAATTTTAAAACATTGCATGTATAGTATACTGAATACCCATTTCACTTGTGCGCGCCCGTATTATCATTAGATTTAAATCTGTAGGTGTGATTTTCCTAATGCTCGTGCTTCTATGTATTAAAGGAGGGCTCTCATAGATCGCCCATACGCCGAATCATGCGGTGGTTCGAACCTCTCTCTCACGTGGATCGATGGAGTTTGTCATGGTGTTGCTGTAATGCGAACTCGCGTGTAGGGTTTCTGAATTTGAATTGTTAAAGAAATTTGTCCTACATCCCTAGAACAGAAAGATGTCGCCCTTTTTGTGATACTTATGTGGTGGCGTATATACAAGGCTCTGTTTGCATATGGCGTCTATCCGTAGCAAATCGGCCGAGTTAGCATGCAATTAAAATTATATTTATGAATCATATTAGAGTCTGGTTTTGCTTACATTCTTTAAATGTAGAAGGAACAGTCATATTTTTATTTTGAGCATTCGGTCGTATTCACATTTGTTGCTATTAAAATGGGCCCTAAATTACAGTTACCATTACTTTCATTTGTACAAGTTTCGGGGGGGTTGGGGTCGCCCTGGACATCCATAGAATCCAAGCTTTTTTACGGCGAAAAGCGTCCAGGTAATCATCCGGAAGCCGATTACGTGATAATTACTTATATTTATTGTTTATTTATAAATTATTGTAATTTAACTTAATTTGTTGTTAGTGATAGGGGCCCCCGGAACTGTAAATATTTAATTTGGACACATTTTACTGCGTAATGATTATTTTTATTGTTTTGCCATTTTGTACTGCGATTACTTTCCTCTACCAAACCCTGCATTTGGGAATGAGATGTAAAAATTTAATGCGGCCTGGCCTATTGATGATTTTATAGAGGACAGAGGTAACAGTGCTATGAAAAAAGATACCAGTGAGTGATATTGGCCATGTAACGCTTATTTGGAAGAAAATATAGAACAAGCTAATCACGTTGTATTCTGGAGGACGCCATATTAGTTTATTTGATCTTGTTCAGCTCATTCCCTTGGTCACTACCAGGCGCAACTAATGGTCCAACCTGAAAGTTGGAACGTAGGCAACGTTGCCACGTTGTGTGTGTGTGTGTGTGTGAGGCTCCGTTGAGCGGAGCTGCACGCATCGCGTTGTGGAATTCTGGGTAGTTATTGACTCAGATTTGTGTTATGCTCAGTACCCCATTTGTATTGGGACTAGTAGACACCCTGTAGCTGTGTATGGGGCAGCAAAATTTCGAGATCTGTGTTTTCGGTGTTTGGAATCTCGACCAATTTGCATCCTGATGCGTGATTCCACATCAGTTTTTGGTTTTTGGTTCCTCATAATTAATCGCTTTTTGAGTTGTTTCTTTGATCGTTGTGTCTGTTAGTAATTGTTCTTAGTGTTTCCAATT